ACCCCGCTGTACGAGAAGACGACGCCGAGAGCAGCAGCGCGACCAGCCCAAGCGACACATCAAGCAACGACCGCGCAAGCATGCGACACTCGTCCATCTCCATGTCGGCTGAGCCCTACAAAGCCAACATGCTCTCGCGTGTCCGGCAACGCACCAAGCGCATCTCCACCATCTTCAGATGAACGGACCGTCAATATTGCGCTTTCCTTAGCCACGTCAGTACCTACACAACCCACCTCAGCTCTTGGTAGTCCGCATCGCGTCCGAGTCTAGGCTGTGGCTGAAGTGAGGAGTCGCTTCCCCATTGATCCACTTAGCCACGTTTTCCTCGGCCCGAACGGCAATCACATGCCATGATCATGCACTCCGCGGACCGTGCAGGCCATCAGCCACACCTGTCTGGTCTCTGGAGCCGAACTTCTCAGCTCCTCACGACGACTGCCGAAACTCCACTCTTCACTTCATGTATCTGTTTTCTTCAACCTCGCCTAGCGCGCTTTGGCCTGTTTCTCTCATCTCTCTCTTACTTCGGATACCCACTCTGCTCTTGCATTCTGCGCACGCGAACGTGCCCCGGCGACGGGTACTCTTGCGCACTCATTTCGGCCGCGGCGTTCTCACGTAAAAACGACAGGGAGTACTTCAGGCGAACACGAAGAGGGCAAGGGCAACCTGCGTTTGCTTCCATTTTGGTTTGGAATTACCGGGGTTGTTTGGCGTTGGGCAGCAAAACGTTTGTGCGTCATAAGCGGCAGGCGCTTCGTCGCTTTCTTTCTCGCTTGCTGTTGCTATGACTTACGAATGACTCAAGAGTGTTCTAGAAGCTAGTTTGTTACAAAATTCACATATGTTTGCAAACAATTACGTGCATCGCGCATTTACCCATCTCTCGAGTGTTGCAAGTGTTTCAAGCACCTTTACTGACGGATGTTACCAGATTGCCTGCCACACCCATGCATGGTTACGAATCTGTGCCACACCTGCGTGCCACACTTCCGCTCCCATGCAGGTGCTTCGCAAAGCAATCTAGACCTTGCGCTCTGGCACGTACAGACGCGTCACCGCTGCTTGGAGCTACGCGATATCGATACCCACCAGCGCATGCAGGCATGTACACTAAGTGCACCATGACACCCTTTCCACCTCGCCAAGCCATGCAGGCATATACTATTACACCGTATATTCCGCTCTGTCCGCCAAGCTAGCCATATTCTCCCCACCAAGATGGAGAAAAAGTGAGCTTTTCGTTGTCGTGGCCAAAATCTCAGTTTGCCGTCGGTGAAGGATCCCTTTCTCGCCGAATGTCGTGTCCAAGCTCTAGTGACAAGTGCATGGACAATGTCACAAAGTTTGTTGCTTACTCGAAATCTGGTTTGCGCCATGAGTAACGTCTGCAGATCGTCAGCTGCCGGAGAAGTCCATGAACTCTATGAGTGTGAAAGGGAAATAAACCTGCCCCAAGAGGAACAAGCACACCAAGCCTGAGATCAGCGTGCTTGATCTTCTCGTGCTGCAGGGCATCGATGGTTTGCGTGATAAATATCATCATCGCGCTTGAAGATCTGCTGCTGCTCACAGCTGTACCTTACTTCACAGACCAAGTCATATGTCTCTTTCTGAGGGGTTGCGTCTCGACACTGTGGTACACTTGCGATCATCTGACTACAGTTCTAATCAAGGACTATAGTGAGTGGAGAGTATCAGGCGTGGAGATCAGCAGAGCCCCCATAACGACAAAGCCAAAGAAATGTCGCATCACACCTGATCAATTTCGACAGCTTTGCCTCACGCGCAAGAAGAGATAGCAGGACCTATAGTCGACGCACGACACGCAGGGACATCGTGCACAGCCAACGTCACACATTGACAAGCCTTCAATATCACCACATAAGCTTCGCACCAGTGTCGCGAAACAAGCAATTTGGCAGATCAAGCAATTGAAGCCCAGAGATCAACCTGCCAGCTGGAAGGTTCCATCACTGCACATCACTCTCGCCGAGTGAGGGGTTCGCATCAAGGGATTTTATCGGTTGGGTTTTGATCGGCAGAGAAATAAAGTTCGGCATCAACGGGGAGCGACGATCATGACGCTCGGTGCAACGCAAAAGCATATGAAACCAAAGACTGTGATTTTAACGTACAACCGGCAAGACGATTGCTAGTGTACGATGTTACTGTAGCCGCTCTGGATAGACAAGCTTTGTGGTAGTAACGGATCATTGTATTCGTTTTTTAGTTTATGTGAAGACTACTCAGTGTAGTAACCGAAGTACCTTGACCAGGTCCGCTGTTACACCCATGGCAGTGACCTCGCCGCCAGCACCGGCACCCTGGATGATGAGCGGGTTGTCGCCATATCGCTTTGTGTAGAATGCGATGATGTTGTCGCTTCCCTTGAGTGCCGCAATAGGGTGGCTTGTGTCGAACTTCTCCAATCCGACCTTGACCTTGTTGTTTGGTACGTCGACGCTTCCTACAAATCGGATGACCTTGCCTTCCTTCTCTGCCTCTGCCTTAAGCTTCTCCATTTGGTCGTCGTATTGTGGGAGTTTCTCGAGGAACTCGTCGCCGGATGAGCAGGACTCGAGCTCCTTGGGGATAAGAGACTGAACGGGGAATGATGTTGGCGATTCGACCTTTAGGCCAGCGAGACGGGCGAGGATGGTAAGCTTTCGAGCGACGTCTAGTCCGTTCAAATCGTCGCGAGCGTCGGGCTCAGTGTAACCCTTCTCTTTGGCGGATGTTACCTCAGCTGAGAACTTTCCACCTCCACCGCCGAGAGGCTGGAAAGAGTTGAAGAGGAAACTCATGGTTCCGCTGAAAACGCCCTCAATCTTTGTGACTTCGTCTCCGGTCTCGACCAGATCCTTCAGTGTGGAGATAACAGGCAGTCCCGCGCCGACGGACGACTCGTGGAAGACGTAGCCACCAGCACCATTTCCGTTGCTCGCGGCATCAAAGATCTGTGTCCACAGGCCATAGCTTCCTGAGAAAGCTTTCTTGTTTGGCGTAACAATGCTGATTCCCTTCTTCAAGAAAGCAGGGTAGCTATCTGCAACGTCCTGGTTGCTGGTGTTGTCGACCAAAACCACCTTGCCAGGCGCTTTCTGTAGATACTCGCAGAGTTGTGGGAGCGGCAATGTGGGGTTGGAAGTGTTTTGGAGCTCGGATTCCCAGTTGGAGAGGGATTTGTAGTCGGCGTGGTAGACAGCCTTCTTTGAGGTGCTGAGCCAGATGAGGGAGAGGTAGTACGGCGACGAGGGCGATTGAGAGAGACGTTTGGAGAGGGCAGATAGTTGGGAGAGGAAGGCTTTGCCGACGCCGCCAGCACCTGCAGTCGTTAGCATCAAGTATGTATTTGGGAAGATTATTGCGCGTACCGATAACGGCGATGAATACTTGACGAGGTAGAGGCATGTTTGTTTGTTGTAGTCAATTGATTGTGCGAATCTTGATGCTGAGGACGTGACGTTTGTGTCAGCTCTCAGGACACAATGGGAGGATATCCAGACTTGAACAGAGAAAGATTGCGGCTCGCGGAAAGCACGGTGCGGCTCTCAAAGGTACTGCGATGTGGGGTTGGTGAATCAAATGTTAGCCAGGTGGGGTAGCTCCTGAGGTTAGTGACGCAACAAGCCCAGAGCTCCGAACATCGCCGCCGCGCCTACGCGCTCAGCACGCGACTGCCACCACCCAAACCGACTTTCATCACCAACCCCACCATGTCCTCCAAAGACGCCCATCTCTACGGCGTGCGGCCCAAGGGACGCGCAAAGGCGAAAGAAATCTCCAGCTCGAGCAGCCTCGCCTTCTCCTCGACTCTCTCCAACCTCATCAAGAACTCTTCGACGGAACCGAACAAGCCCACCGCGGGCCGCGCACGACCACAGAAGGAAGACATCTTCAAGACACACAACAAGAACGTCAAGAAGCGCGCACTGAAGGACCTGGAAGACACCGACTTCACACAGAAGCACCGCGGGCGCACAACCGAGGAGAAGGGCGAAGATGAAGTCGCATGGAAGCGCACGAAGCGGCGCATGGAAGAGAAGGCGCGCCTGTATGATGCCCTGAAGCGCGGCGATGTGGAAGATCTCGACGACAAATACGGCGTCGACTTTGACCGCAAATGGGCTGAGCAACAGGAAAAGGGCGAGGCGGAACACGCCAGCTCATCCGAGTCGGAAGAGGACGAAGAGGAGGAACTTGTAGAATATACGGACGAGTTTGGGCGAACGCGAAAGGGCACACGTGCAGAAGCTGCCCGCGAAGAGCGTCGAAAGCGCACCCTCGCCGCCGACGAACCCGACCGCTTCACCGCGCGGCCCAGCATGCCCACCAACATCATCTTCGGCGACACCGTACAAACACACGCCTTCAACCCCGACGAGACCATCGCCCAGCAAATGGCTGACCTAGCCGCCAAGCGCGACAAAGAACTTACGCCGCCACCCGAGGTACACTTTGACGGCAGAGCCGAGGCCAGGCAGCGCGGCATGGGCTTCTTCAACTTTTCCAAGGACGAGGAGGAACGGCAAGAACAGATGAGACGGATTGAGAAGGACAGGGAAGATACTGAGCGCGTAAGGCAGGAGCGCAAAGAGGCCGTGGAGAAGAGAAAAGCCATGGTCAGAGAAAAGAAGAGGGCCATACAGGAGAAGAGGAGCAAAGGGCAGGCGGAGAAGTTTCTGGAAGAGCTGGGCCAGGAGCTGTTCAAGGACGGAGAGACTGAAGTGGAGGACAAGTCGACCGTCGCAGATGAGGGCAAAGAAGCTGCGTGAGCCGCAGTCTTCCCATTTCCCATTCTACTATGATACCCCAATACGAAGCACCTCTTCTCGTTCAAATGGGCGCTTGTGGTCCACGAAAACCCCACAACAAATAAGGGAAAAACGAAACACCTTGCAGTCTACATCAATTTGAAAATGAAAGTTGACAAAATATTGACTTGATGTAGGCTCCTAGGTTCACAAGTTTTGAGATTTCATATAGGTAGGTGGTCAATCTTTCCTTGCACGAACGGTCTGAATCAAACACGCCTTGGTGCCCCCCAGCTGGGGGTCCAAACTCGTTATCCAAAGCTTTCTTAGACTCTCTCGTTCATATTCACTCTTGTGCCTGCCTTGGATCCTCTCTACCTGCTTCAGACCCCGCCTTACTCTCATATCCTCTGTCTGTATTACAGACGCCTTGTAGGTTGCGACGTAGGGCCCATAGATGGCTTGGAGTTCTGGGCGGTCGAGCCAATCGAGTGCCTTATCGGCATCCATGGCGAGCACACTTATCCTCGCAATGGCGTCTTTGAACAATGGCATCTTAGTCGTCTTCATGGCGGTACGGAATGTGTCCAGCGGATCCTTAAGCGTTAGAGGTAGCTTGAGATATGAGGACAGAGCGCTCCCTCCTTTGGCGATGATGTCCTTCCGTACGAGCGCTCCTGAACGGAGGTTGAAGTGGTATGCGCATGTGGAGAGCAAGCCCTGGACGTTGGGCTGCCCGTATAGAATGATTAGGGCATAATCAATTAGGCGTTCGCGGATCGCCATGTCGTCGTCTCGGCTTGACTTTGTATTACTCTTTTCTCTTGCGAAGCGCTCGGGGTGGAACGTGATGATGGCGATACGACGAACTGTAGTTGGGCTGTTGTCGTAGTACTCTAGCATTGCTGCCGGGATTTCTGCTTTGTAGCGTTGGGTGCCGGACAAATATAGGACCTTTGCTGTCCTGCCTCGCTCTTTTAGATACTGGCAGTAGTCCCGGAACGCCGTCCCTCCTGCTAACAAGAGAACTGGAGCGGTGGACTTGTCGAGACAGATAAACGCGAAAGTCTGCCAATAAAGGCGAAGCTGGCTGGGTACGCTGTCTAGGACCTTTTCAGAGAGACCAATCATCCGCTTTCTGTCGAGGCGTCGGGAGAAGACGTCCACCATGAACACGCCGGTTGTGCGAACATTGGCGACGTTGTATCCGAGTTTGATCAATAGCACAGCGATGGACTTGTTAGACATGTCGTTCAGTGTCCCATACGACATGTGAAGTGAACTTGTCGGGTCGCTTGTCGGGTAAGAGCTCATGACCATCAGCGGATCTTCCGGCGACCCGAACGGCTTCACCAGGTAATCCGGGCGCACATCTAGTCCTACTGTAGGGGTCGACGGTAAGGTGATTCTGCATTCATCATGTGACGCCTCTGCCCACAGGGCGTCGACGATGGCATTCGTAGCCGGCCATGTTGATGGCGACTCCAATATCCCAGGGATGTAGAGAGGTGGCGCATTCCGCGTATGTGTCTTGATAGCCCTGGTGAGCGCTGCGATCTCTGGTGGCGATGGCAAATCGGCACTTACGGTTGATCGCCTGCCCTCTCCTGCGTCTATAAGCCAACCATCATATTCGCCTACTCATCTTATACAATGGAAAAGTTGAACAGGTACGCTGAAGTCTACATTACTACAACAACACAAGTTTGAGAGAGTTTAAAGACAATGTAGTCTTATCAGCTTTTTTTGCATGTATTTCGTGGAGGTGGCAGTCCACTTTCCCCGTAGATGAGGAGTCCTCAAATTCTTAGCAATTTCATCGCAGCCTCCAAGCTTCTGACCTCAGACTCTAGCATCGATCGCCGTTCCCTCGTACCCGCATCTTCCCCAGCTATCAACTCCAGCTGCTCGACTCCCAAACCAAACACCATCTCAGGAGAGAAGACCCTGAGGGGGCTCTCTTCACCCTCAAGAAGAAAGTGACCGATAGCTTGCCGACAAATCACGTCAACAAAGCGCTTTCGTGAGACCTTGTAGTAGCTAGTAAGGACGTCAAGAATGTCTTCGCGCACTTGCTGCACGTTGTCTTTGTCTATGACCAGATTTCGCAGGTTAGTGGTCGATACGAGCTGAGGTTCGGCGCCATCCTCGTGAGGGAACTTCTCTTCGATATCAGCGTCTAAACGAGCTAACCGCTTCTTTTGCACCTCTGAGCTAAAGTAATGGTTGTACGTTGATGGCTTCCCTTCTCGCTCGATTCGCAGCAGAAATTGAGCCTGCTTCATAGCTCGTACATATGCTTTGCGTACTGCATCCATGATGAGATGATCCCATAGCAGGTCACAGATCTCCTTGTCGGGACAGACGTGGGCAAGGAGCTTGGCTATGTAGTCGTGCACCAGAATGATGGATTTGCTGACATGAGCCTGGACGAGTTGCGGCCACTTCTCCGACTGTTCCTTGAAGATCATAGCCAGTATGGTACCTGAGAACGTGCCCAGCTCTGGTCCTCGGTTCTCTTGATAGACGCGCTCAATATGCTTGGCAATGGGGTCTTCGTCAGAAGCGATCGGCTCTGGGCACTCGTAATCCTCCATCTCAACTATGTCGCATAGCTCAGGATAGTCTTCAAGTGTAGCTTGCACTAGCGCGGCGTCTTCCTCTCTCTTTCCAAGCTCGTAAGCCTTCTCTTCCTCATTTACACCAGATGTGGAGGATGTCGTTCGTTTGTGACCCTTATGCCAGAATTCGTTGGAGAAGGCCTCATTCATCTTTGTCACGGCAGTTATGAGCTTCAGACTTGGCTGTGCTGTGAAGACATGGTTGCCGTCGTAGGAGCCATTCAGGGCATTTTGAGTGATGGTTTGGAATTTCGTCGAGAGATTTCCTAGGTACGTACGCTGAGATGTCTCGTCAGTACGTGCAGGCCCTAACCCATCCAGTTGCTCTCGGAAGGCTGCCAGTTGGCCGAGAACATCAGATCTGACGTTTGGTAGTTCTCGTTTTGTGATGTTTGTTAGTAGGTTGCTAAGACGGGTCTTGAGCGAGCCCACGCCACACCTTTCTGTAGTCAACAAAGACCTCCACTCCGGCTTGGAGAAGAAGCGCTTCTCTTGCTCCAGTCGATCTGTGAGGGTAGATGCGCGATCGTCGGCGCCGCGATTCTTGACCATGCAGTAGCCCAGACGCAGCCTGTTCCGCCCACCCAAAACAAGTTCTTTGATGGTATCGCGAGTTGCGGTCTCCAGCACTAGATCAAGCTTAGTGAGCACACCCATTGTTCGAACACCTTCTGGATCTGCAACTTCGGCCATCTTGAGGATCTCTTGGGTTGAGATGTCGACATTGCATGGCAAGACCGCTAGGATGATAGTCCGGCTATTTCGCATATACGACTCAACCATGTTGCGGACCAAGGTAACGTCACTGTCGGTGGTCAGTGGAGGATTGGGGACGCGGAAGATACCAGGCACATCAATCACAGTAAAGTGCTCTTGGTCCGGGCCGTTGATCTCGATCTTGAGAATGTCTTCGCTGAACGCTTGTAGTTGAGAGTCGCCGGCATCAGAAGACATCCTGATCCCCATATGTCGGTTAGCCTCTGAGAAGCATTCTTCGAGTACATCGGCGGTAACCGTATCTCCTTCAACGTGGAACTTCAGTAGTCGCTCGACGAGTTCCGGATCTGCGTTTGGTCGGGGGATGATTGATACCGAAACGCTCTGCTCAGGCCGACGGCGACAAGAGATCTGCGTCGCATATCGTGTGCAAAGTCCGGCACCTTGCGGGAATGCGAAACCTGTAAGACTCTCTAGAACTGAGCTTTTACCGGAAGATTGGTCTCCGACTACTACAAGCTGGGGTAACTCAAGATCTCGGACATTGAGTTCTCGGAGCTTGTCTATCTTGTCGAGAAGGGCTTGGTTTGTAAGATTAGGTCTACTAGTATTCGTCATGTTGAGATGCTGTTGTATGGTGGAAGCAAGTGCAGCAGCTTGAATGCCCGATGTGTCAATGATATATGAGCTGCTTCTGTGTTTGTTCAAGATACCAAACAAACATAGCAATCCTGATGTTTCAATCGGTGATAAACCAGATGCTTCCAGTAGTTCTCTTAGCTGAAGATCGTTTGAACAAGAGGGCTGGCGGGCCATGGAGATTGTCAGTGCACAAGGCCATCATCCATCAAGCCCATTGCTGGTATAGCCCAATTTTGCACCCAGTGAGACTCAAGAACCTGTTGCGCTGAAGGTCGTTCGTCTGGTCGAAATGCCAACATCAATCTCATGAGCTTGACAAATGACTGCTTCTCCTCCTCGTCCATCACGTCCACCTTATTTTTGTTTCTTGGTTCTTGTATTGACTTCTCCAGAAGATCTTCCAACGACTGATAATCCAATCCTCTAAGGCTTCGCAGTTGATCGTCAAAATACTGGCTGCGATTCGCCCATCTCAGCCACAAGTCTTGAGGTAACTGTCCCAAAGCAGCGACTTGATACTCTAAGACTTGGTCGTTACTCGGGAACCATTCATAAAACAAGAGACGTTGACCCATGATACTGAACACTGCGCATCCGAGACTCCATAATTCCGCAGGGAACGAGAATTGCGAGACTGGGTCCAACAGTATCTCTGGAGGCCTTAGCATCAAGGGCGTGTGGGAAGATTTTCGCACATGAGATCCTGGCTGGAAGGATTCGCCAAAGTCGTTTAAAAAGATCTGGGAGTCGGCGAGTGAGAGCTTGTCACCGCGGCCCCCAAGCCAGATTGGTACGACACCATTGTCGGGCACCCAATGATCCAGAGAGCGTCCATCTACCCTTTCTACCTCTTCGAGCGTGGGTTGTCCATACCTTTCGTATAGTTGGTCTGAGGGAAGATCATCGATGGTATTGGGAAGGCGCAGAAGGATATTTGCTTCATGTAGATCTAGATTCACTGTCAGCGAATTGATAATCTACCCACATTAACTATTCCATCACACACCTCCATGAACTATCCCACGAGAGTGCATGAATGCGACTGCCTGAATAATCTGAGCAGCTATCGCTCGAGCTACTGGGAGCTGAAAATAACGGTAAGGGGACGCGTCTCGCGCTTCGGCAATGCTCATCATTGCAGGTGTCGTGACGAGACAGCGGTGCTTTCTCTTCGTACCACGTATCTCTGGACCTTCCACTTCGAATTCATCCAAAAGTTCAGGAAACAGCGTAGTACCGATATGTTCTTCGCCACCGCGTCTTCCCTCGTCCCACAAAGCCTTCAAGATGGTACTTTCGGACGGACGGTCTAGCCCTGATACACAGAATTTGATAGCAACATACTTTGCTAGGATCTCGTCACGCGCTAGCCATATAGTTGAATAAGAACCATGACCCAGTTTATGTACAATGTGATAGCGAGCCGAGCAGAAGCGCTCGCCGATTCGTACCGGATAGTAGTCTCCAACAGTGTAACGCTCGAAGGGTTCGATATCTTCCATCGGCTTGTACATCGGGAAGGAAGACTCTGGGTTCTCAGGCTTGCAATCTGACATCGGTTTTGTATAACTGCCAGATGATGTGTACTCTCTTACTGGGTTGCGAGACGTGGTGTGTGAATTAGCAGATATGTTGCAGGCGAAGCGATGAGTCGAGCGGAACCGTCGATGAAGAGTTGATCGAGACAACAAATCCATCCGCATTGCGAAGTCTTTCATCACTAACCGCAACTGCAGAGAAAGTAACAAGAGTAGGCGCTTTCATAGGTGCAATGTTCTCGCAAACGCGATTGTCAGGAGCTAATGACTGGGTCTGTTGAGGCCTGCCTGCTGGAGGTGGCGGGGAAATCAACTAGCGTCAGGACCCACCGCCACCCGCAGACCCGCCGACAGCATTCCTATATCACCTCAAGTCAGTGCAAATTCGGTATGCTAGGTACTGATTGCATCGGGCATGAACAAGCAGGTGTTGTCGTGGAACGTTGAGGTCCTTTTTTGGCGGGAGAGCTAAATGCATCTGTGGTATCTTTTAAGCACGCGCGTGGTCTCATCACATTCTTTACATTACGTCTCTACCGATAAGAAAATATATACCAGCCTCCAACATTACTATCGCACCGCACCGCGACTCGATGCATCATCCTGCTTCTACCATCGGGCACGTAGGCATCAGTGGACCCTTCCTGGAAGCTCGGCAGGCTCCATGTTTACATGATGACCTCCAGACATCTCAACCGGTCCACGGCTGCTATCCCATTGATATGCCTTCCGCGTGTGTCGCATGTTTCCCATGCTCAATTCAGATTCCTGTGCGAATTCATCCCGGCGACCGTAGCTGTATCCAGATGGCTGTACTTTCTCTTTTGAAGCGCCACGCTTTCGTCGAATGAAGAAGACGCCAAGAATGGTCAAGCAGATCACTGTAAGCCCTCCTAAAACTCCTCCCACGATAGGCCCAATGTTATTTGGTTTGTGTTCGGAAGAATCGGGCGTCGGATTTGACGTTGACGGCGGCAACGAAGCCCCGGACAGGACATTGGCGCTTGAAGGTGCAGTAGTAGTAGAAGATGGAGGTATCGAAGTCTGTGTATCTGGGGTCGAACTGTCCAAAGGTCCGCTGCGTTCAGTGGATGTCGTTGTTGCGACCGCGTCGTTCGGTGTCACGAAGATGCTTTCGGTTTTCGGCTCCCTTCCGCAGGCAATGTATGACAATGACTGATCCGACTGAATTAAGAGCGCAGTGGAACAGAACTGGTCGGATGCACTGGAAACTTTAATTAGAAGAGCCCCTCAGTATGTCTGAAGCTATAGAGAGACCGACCATGAAATACGGCGAACCGTTTGATCAGACAGTTGGCCGCATCCAGACGCACAAGAGCCTTGATCAGCGCATATACCGACTAAAAGACAAAGTTCGGCTGAATCGCCAGGGTGACAAAAGCCCCATAAGCCGTTGGCGGAATCCGCCAGGCAGACGAAACCAGGGCCAGCCCCTCGAGGTTTACTGGGATTGCCATCGGTGTATCCACAGATAGAAGCAGATGCATCGTCTTGTCGTCTGAAAATCTGTTCCTGGGCGTGAGATGCTTGCTGTGTTGCACGTGGTCCTAGGGGTGCAAAACGGCCACGAACAGGTTCCACGGAGCTCAAGGCGACAAGATACACGAGGAACCTCAACATCTCCCAAAGGCAATGTTGATGGTGACGACGGCGCGTTGATTGGTACAGTACTAGAAGCGAAAGAACAGATGCGACGATGGGTGTGACACGTAGGGGGCATAGATGCGACTTAAAGGCTACTGCTGACCCTACCGCAGGTCTGCGGTCAGCAGGGGCAATAATACAGCCATTTCTTAGATTGCGCTTATGCAGTCAATGGGGCGAAGATGTCGTGTTAGCCTTGAGGGAAACGGCCCCCATCTGCCACAATGTCAGCACGTAGCGTCCATGTTGAGTTGTCTTAAGCCTGATTATCGCCATCGAACCACAATGCCCATTCGCCTTTGATCTCCTAGGTCGATACACTCGCACCTCTGGTATCGTCGCGGATTCAGTATCGCCATAGACCTCATCGTTTGACACCAACGACATGCTCTCGGCGACCAGGGCAAAACCGGCAAGGATGGCAACGAGCGACGCATCCCGAGCACAACAAGCATTTAGATGCACTGGAATATGCATTTTTCCCTTCGCGCGTGGATCTGTCCTGGAATCCCGAGGTCCTGGCAACGCCTGGGCAGAGATAGCAACAACCGCGCGCGCCACCAACACCCAACTTTCGCTGCTAGAATCCATATCCCGGAGCTCACTAAGTTAGCGAAAGCGCGCATACGTGAGCGGTTCTCTCGGTACTGGTAGACGCTGCGTGACGCTGTTGAACTTTTTCTTGTTGTGGGAGAAAGGCAGAAGGGATATGTTGACTGGTTTCACTGGTAACAGACGCTCCGGAGGCACGCACGGGCCACTTGTTCACCCAAACAGTGTTGCTAGTGGGATAACTGTCTGCGTCATTTGCCGCCGTGCCGCAACCCGTGGGCCTATTCTGAGCGCTTCCTCCACGCGAAACGGCGCGAATCCGACTTGCCACTCTCAGTCACGCAGCTACATTCTTTGAAAGAGACTTCATCGGCTTTATTGCTTCTCAGTTGCACCCTGTTCTTTCTTCTTCGTCGCTCCTTTCTAATGACAACGAGGGGCTTGCGATCGGTCTTCAAGGCGACCGCGTTGCTTGCTGTTGTCTTCCTCCTGATAGCCGGCTTTGGGTTTTTCGACTATGGCGATTCCCTTTCGCGAATAAAACCTATCGTCACTGGTATTGTCAAACCAACCCCGGCAGGTGTGTAGCCTCTGCTTCCCGATAATGTGAGTCGGATCTAACATTTGGGACTAGAAACGAAGCCGAGCAACCTAGATGACTCGCCAACAACATCACAAACCCCCGAGCCTCCCAATGCCAGCGGCGGTTCTGAACTTTCGGAAAGTAACAATGCCACCGTCATTGATATACCAGCATATCTGCACGCCATCATGAATCCTGCGTCTACGACTTTCCCACGACTTGAGTGCCCGCAGCCAAACCTTGAAAGGTATGCGTATCTCGGTGGATCATCTGGATCACTCCAACATGGGCAACTTCCTCGATACTTCTTTGCCCTCGATCTACATCAATGTGTTGACCTTCTTCCGCGATTGATTGGCTCCATAGTAGAAACTATGTACTTCCTTGGGCCACAAAACTGCGTGCTATCTATAGTCGAAGGAAGATCCGACGATGGCACCTTTGATATACTCAATCAACTTCACTCTAGCATGCAACTTTTAGGTACCCAAGGCAGCTTACATTCAGAGATAAAAAAGCTAAGCACTCCTAGGTATTCGATACTACTTCAAATCGAGCGATATCAACCCTCTAGCCAAAGGAGAAAATCGCATCGAGAACCTTGCAAAGCTCCGCAATCTAGCTCTGAGAGACCTTAT